CTGTGGCTGTGGCTGTGGCTGTGGCTGTGGCTGTGGCTGTGGCTGTGACTGTGACTGTGGGTGTGGGTGTGGGTGTGGGTGTGTGGGTGTGGTTCTGGAAGAAAACAAGGCTCATAGCCACACCTACACCCACACTCACACCCACACTCACAACCCACACCCACCCACACCCACACCCTTCCAATAAACATTTAAGGAAGAATTTTTGACTATTTTAATACGCAGGTCACAGTGCTCAGCAGCCAGTAGTGGCTAACTTTACTATAGTACATTGAAATGAGCTAAAAATTTGGGTTTGGTGGTTTTAGACTATGCTCTTTCGAACGCACATAAAAAATCGAAAATCTAAATTTTGGCCAGTGCCTCGTATACTGAAATGATTATCGGTCTTCTCATGGAAGCTCTCTTAATTAAATGTTAGGAAGATTTGAAATTTTTACCAAATATAGTACTTGTTATGGCTAAACTGTGATAAAAATTTCCGGTCTTACAAACACTTAATTAAAAAGTTAAAAGCAAAAAATGAGCGGCGCCAGCTTCTACTACCTCCTCACCGCCAGCGAGTCTCTACTGTTCCTGGCTCCGCCACTACTATGTTCTCTCTTGCCTTTTAGCATGCGTGCATTCATTCATGGAGGGCAGGGACGAATAATCCTCAACCTAGAAGAAATTTTCGAGATTGAGACTTATTGTATCATTTAAAAACGTGTCCGAGTGTTTGGAAAATTTTAAGGGGTTTCATATAGTGATAAATCCAAAACCTCTCTATAGGTTCTCTACAAAACTGTCTTTTTATAGTGTAGCACAACATTATTTCTAGAAAAATTACGATCCGATTTTAGCTTGATTATTCAAGCATATAGGATCAATTCAATATCATGTTTACACTTGAAAATCATTAAATCATTCGAAATATGTATGCTTGATAGAAACTCTAATTATTGACTTCTCTGTAAAACGGATTTTTATCTTTGGATAAACATCGTCATGAAGAAAAATTTTGATTTATTTTTACAATATTAGCATAGGTTTTTATTGCATTTGTATGTGAATCCTAAGTACGATTTCTCTTATTTTTTTTAATCATTTTCAAGTTCCATATTATGCTTTGTCTTTGAGTTCATATCTGACTTGTCCGTCACAGGTCTAAACAATAAATGTTTGTCCTGGATGCTGCCAATCGTATCCATTACCATTTGGAATAATTGTATATGTACAGCAATCGTAATCACCAAATAACATATTAACCTGTTGTGATTCTTGCTAATTTTCTCGCTCGAAAACAACTTTATTAAAATGAACACATCGTGTACTATCGTAATACTTTAAACTCAATAGTGATTTGATCACCAAATTAATGGACTAGTGATGTTTGTAATTTTAATTTAAAATGATCTTGATCATCTGGAGTTAGTACAAATCCACACATGAGTTCCACATTAAAACCTATGTACATTCAGAACGCAACAACATTAATTGACACTGACAGAAAATTGCAAACTTTAGTTTACCTATGTTTGTATTGCCATACAAAGAATACCATTGATCAGATAAATTGAACAAATACTTAGCTTCTGATGGAATACCATATGTAAATGATAAATATAGGGTAGTTATATATCTATGCAATGGCAAGCAATTGTTTACGTATTTATAAAAGGCATACGATATACATTTACTCATCATCATCAAAATCACAGTATCCAACACGTATTTGAACGTTTTAGCTAGTCTATCTTATATTTCAAAATAACTTAATTATGGAACTTCACCAAGACTGGACTTCTCGAAAACACATATTTCTGTTTCATCATAGAGTTCAGCAACTCAACGAAGCAATAATGACACTCACTCCTTGTATATAATAGTCGCGGTCTAGTTTCAATCATTCGCATGCTGACAAGCCTTCTTTTCTTAAAGACAAGATTTATGCCTTGAGTCGAAATGTGATAGCGTTTGTTTTTAAGACGGTATTGCTTCTGTGCATAATACTTTTTGTAGGCTTATAAATATCTAACAATCTACAGAATGTACTTTGTATAGTTGTAATTTACCAATAATCATAAGCATTAGAAAAATGATGGTGGGTAGTGTGGATATGGGTGGTGTGGGTGTTGGTGTAGGTATTAGTCTTTAATTCGTTCACACCCACACTCACAGCCATCCACACCCATACCCGCAACCATCACCCACACCCACGCACACACTCGGGCCGGCAAAACAGACTCATATCTGGGCCATCTTTCTAAATAATTCAATAACTTTGTCCACAGGTAATTGTTCAACTTTGTGTTCCTCATAGCCGGAAAGCGTTCGTGCAGCGAAGAGCGAATTGATAATCGCCTCTTCTGTCGCTTCTATGGCA